ATTCAGCTTAAATTAATAGTCTACCCTGCCCAAAATCTAGTTTAAAAATAAGAAATACTAGTCATATAAACACATATTGACTGTAAAAATATGAATCTTATCGCCACCATTTGTAATCTGCAAGTTTAAAATGTAAACTCCTTAGTTGTTTCAAATCTCCAAATCTCCAGAAACACTAGTACAGTATCAACAGCTGCAGTGCAGCCCTAAATTAGCATCCAAATGAATGATATTAAAAGCAAAGGCAACATACAGTATGCCATGCTTTTGCTGCTCTCAGAGGAATTTCCATGGATTCATTATGGCTGAGAATCCAGCCCATCAAATACCTCTGTAATATTGCATCTTCCAGTGCAGGCAAAGTGGCCCATTTATTGGGCTCCAGTTTCACACAAAGCCTGGCTGCCAGCCTGCGTTCTCAAGGTCTCCATCATTTCAGTCCGTACGTGACACAATGAGTCATCGTCACACGAGAGGTTATGACATCAGGGGGAAAAAGTCGTATTCGTCAACATCAAATACACCCACTGTGACTGCTTGGAATAATATACAGAAGATGATGATGATGCACTCCCTTTTGCACTATGCACTAGGGATGGGAACGATTATTCGAATATTCGAAATTATTCAGGTATTCGAATATGAGAATATGAGTTATGAATATTTTTATTGTAAATTTCTTACGTTTTTTTGGGAGTTGATTACATATTATCAAATGGAATAATTCAATGTATACGACAGTGCCATAGCTAAGTGTGTTTGGTCTAAAGGTGTGTTTTGCTCCGCTCACCGGTCCCTCACAGCGGGCAGAGCTGCAGGTGCTGATCTCTCTCTCGCGTCCGGTTATACTTCACTCGTATGTCCAAATCCATCAGATCTAGCTAGTTCTAGCTAATGACATGGCTGCTGCCCCTCCCTACACGCAGACCAAGCAGACTCAAACCTCATCTTATGCCCAAATTCCAGCTGAGAGGGTCTTCTCTACAGCTGGCCTAATTGTGAATCGCCTCCGCACCCGCCTCTCCCCTGAGTAGACATGCTCACATTCTTAAACAAGTTGTTTTTTTTGGGGCTCGAATATTCGCATCTATATGCACATCATGTTTTTTATATATATCCTGCTTACTTGAAGTGTGAGTATTTTTATACCTCGGGACTGTGGGAAACACTATTTTGATCTTTCTGTGTGTACAAACATATTTTGAGATTGACAATAAAGTTGACTTTGACTTTGACTACAGAAGGAGCTGAAACTCTCAGATTTGGGTCCATCTTAAAGGACAGAACAAGAATCCATTGGTCGATATGATTGCTCGTATATCACATAATTGAAGTCGTTTTAAAATTAAGCCAGTTTTTTTACGTTTTATAATTATAATAACGAGTGCTTTTTCAAGTGCTCAAAGCGCTTTACATGACATATTACACATAGTGGACACAATAGTTTATTTTATTTGCATATTGACTGTGCCGTTTCATTTGTGTGTTACAGCTGTATTCGTTTTGTGTTCATTTGTTGGAGCTTTGTTCATGCTGCCCTATTGGCCGGGTCGCTCCTGAAAAACATATTTTAATCTCAATGAGACTTTTACCTGGTTAAATGTCACTCGATCAGTCAGTAAATAAATTAGCAAAAAATGACAAACTGTATTGGCATCGGCTCCTGAATGCACCATCACTGAAATGAGAACCACATACACACGAGGCAGCATTGCATAGTTTAAAACCAAGGTCTATGTGTTTGTGCCTTGTTTTAAGGAATATATTTTGGTCCTTTTAATGCAAATGTGGCAAGGCAGAGAAGTGGACAGGGACATTTTTAATGACCGTCTTTCAGGAAATCAGAAAGCCAGCACTATATTTGGACATTGTGAGGCGGTGAAAGTCAGGAGGTCTTGGTGTCCAGGGTTAGAGATGCATTGTGTTGTGATTGTAATCAAAGTGAGGAGCGTGGCATGGGACAATCACGTCACCCAGAACGACAGCTGCATCATAATCTACATCTCCTCTTTGACACTCACTCAGATCAACCACTTATTGGTATAAATAATTCATCACCAAATGAGGACATTAACATCAGCGCTGCCTTATGACATCCCACTTGACTGCTCTTGAAGAACACGGAATAAATTGCGGTTCCTCGTAGTTCAAAGCAGTGATTCAGACTGAGAGGGCATTGTGACTTTGATCATGCATTTAGACTCAGCTATCAATCTTTGTTATATATTACCGTGACACGACAAGGATCGCATGAGCAGAGTGGGGAGTTTTATGAGTAAAGGGTTGACACAAAATGTTAACGAGGACATATTCTGCACATTTTCAGGTTGATTAGTATTTAGTGTCTCTACTCTCTCTCTGTTCAGGTGTATATCAGTATGTAGTGTCTCTACTTTAAAGAGTCCTCTCCTGCTGATGTTCAGGTGTATATCAGTATGTAGTGTCTCTACTTTAAAGAGTCCTCTCCTGCTGATGTTCAGGTGTATATCAGTATGTAGTGTCTCTACTTTAAAGAGTCCTCTCCTGCTGATGTTCAGGTGTATATCAGTATGTAGTGTCTCTACTTTAAAGAGTCCTCTCCTGCTGATGTTCAGGTGTATATCAGTATGTAGTGTCTCTACTTTAAAGAGTCCTCTCCTGTTGATGTTCAGGTGTATATCAGTATGTAGTGTCTCTACTTTAAAGAGTCCTCTCCTGCTGATGTTCAGGTGTATATCAGTATGTAGTGTCTCTACTTTAAAGAGTCCTCTCCTGCTGATGTTCAGGTGTATATCAGTATGTAGTGTCTCTACTTTAAAGAGTCCTCTCCTGCTGATGTTCAGGTGTATATCAGTATGTAGTGTCTCTACTTTAAAGAGTCCTCTCCTGCTGATGTTCAGGTGTATATCAGTATGTAGTATCTCTACTTTAAAGAGTCCTCTCCTGCTGATGTTCAGGTGTGTATCAGTATGTAGTGTCTCTACTGTGACATGTCTCCATGCTTCAATGTTCAAAAAGCTCTTTATTTCTCTCATACTGCCTGTGCTGCAGCACCTCTTTTCACCCTCTGTCTGAAACCAGAGCCGAGTCTGCTTTGATTGGTTAGCTGGCCGGCTCTGTTGTGATTGGTCAACCAGCTTAGAGACGACCGCCTCTTAGCCTATCACGTACAATGTGTTGGAGCTCTAGCCAATAAAAGAGTGAGTGTTACATATTGATGTCACTAGGTTCTGGAACTTTTAGATTTTAGCCTTTGCAGACCATTTACATGCACAAAAACGTATATAACACACTACAGGGAAGGGGAAAAAAACATAATAGGTACTCTTTAAATATGACTTTTATGTGGATAACCTCAAACCCACACACTGCATGTATGCAATACGAAAACACGGTAAACCAATAGATGTGAATGAGACAGTTTCTACATTTTCCAACATGTTATCTGATCATCATCATGTTGTTTGATATTGCAGAGAAGTGTCTGAATCCGCAGTATGAAATCAAAACACATGAAACTGCAGATCTCCACAAGGCGTCTTTGATATTCCTTTGACGTGGTCTATCCTCTTCAACTCATTTGCATGTGTTTACCTAAGGCAAATCACTGTGATGTGTCTTTTATATAAGTGCCAAACATTCCTGAGAAGGGCTTTTTAACTTGGGTTATAAAGTAAAGTGTAAGTTTAAGAGCAGAGGTGGGAAGTAGTGGAGTACAAATACTTCGTTACTGTACTTAAGTATTTGGTATCAGTACTTTACTCCACTACTTATTTTTCTGATGACTTTTGACTTTCACTTCTTACATTTTGAACACAAATACCTGTACTTTCTACTTCTTACATTTTGAACCCAAATACCTGTACTTTCTACTTCTTACATGTTGAACACAAATACCTGTACTTTCTACTTCTTACATGTTGAACCCAAATACCTGTACTTTCTACTTCTTACATGTTGAACACAAATACCTGTACTTTCTACTTCTTACATGTTGAACACAAATACCTGTACTTTCTACTTCTTACATGTTGAACTCAAATACCTGTACTTTCTACTTCTTACATTTTGAACACAAATACCTGTACTTTCTACTTCTCACATGTTGAACACAAATACCTGTACTTTCTACTTCTTACATGTTGAACACAAATACCTGTACTTTCTACTTCTAACATGTTGAACACAAATACCTGTACTTTCTACTTCTCACATGTTGAACACAAATACCTGTACTTTCTACTTCTAACATTTTGAACTCAAATACCTGTACTTTCTACTTCTAACATGTTGAACACAAATACCTGTACTTTCTACTTCTAACATTTTGAACTCAAATACCTGTACTTTCTACTTCTAACATGTTGAACACAAATACCTGTACTTTCTACTTCTAACATTTTGAACTCAAATACCTGTACTTTCTACTTCTAACATGTTGAACACAAATACCTGTACTTTCTACTTCTCACATGTTGAACACAAATACCTGTACTTTCTACTTCTTACATTTTGAACACAAATACCTGTACTTTCTACTTCTTACATGTTGAACCCAAATACCTGTACTTTCTACTTCTCACATTTTCCAAACAGGCTGGTTCTTTTAGTTTGAATGTGTGTTTGGTGGCGTGATCATTATTATTTAGAGTCATTGCGTGCCTATTGATTTGAACACGATCCGTGTATCCATCATTTCCTGGTCTTCTCTAAAGAAGAGGGACCAATGAAAACGTTGTCATGTTGCCGTTGTTCAGCATGGAAACATTCATTAGCTAACAATGACATTATTGCTCTATTAATATAAAGGGAGGTCAGGTACTCTTTAAAACAGCTGCTAGTTATGGGTACTTTTTACTGAAGTACATTTCAAAGCCTCTTTACTTTTACTTGAGTAAAGAAGTTTAGTCAGTACTTCTACTTTCACCAGAGTATTTTTAAACACAAGTACTTCTACTTGAGTAAAGGATGTGTGTACTTTTGCCATCTCTCTTGAAGAGGTGTGTGTTTCTTTGTGCTACCTGGGTCAGTTGCAGAGACAATGGCACCAAACAGGAGGCAGTCAGTGAGGAGGAAGTCTCCATCAGCTGCTCGGCCCAACAGCACCATCAGTCTGGTGAAGCCGTAGACGCAGGACCTGTGATGGAGGACAGAAGGACAGATAATGAGGTCAGTATATCAGTCTTCCCTCTAACCACAGCAGGGCTTCCCCCAGGGCAGTGTGGGTAATAAGGGCCAGATGCTACCAGCAGGTGAGTTGGCAGCGGCTGCTTAGCACAAGTTCCCCTGCTTTAAAGGTCACCTATTATGCAAAATGTCTTTTATACATCACCACGTGTCCCCTCTGTGGAAAGAGATTCTGAAAGTTTCAGGAACAAAGATTCTCTCTCTTTTTGTCCTGATCCATTTCTATAAAAACCTGACTGAAAATCAGCTGATCAGATTTTGGCCACTTTATGATGTCATAACGATGTTTTGTCTTGTGTAACCATTAGCCAATCACCAACCAAGGTAACCCCCCCCCCCCCACCTTATCACCTGAATCTCCTCCTAGAACCAAATGTCTCTCAGAGGGGCGTGGGGAGGGGCTCCTTATTTTCATCTAAAGTAACAGACAGAGAATCAGCACTTTTGAAACAGGGCTGAAACAGAGGGGATTCTGGGATGCTGCAATGATCTGTTTGGTGTTTCAGCCAATCAGAGACAGGTTCTGGATATATCTGAGACCTGTGATATATTGATGTAAAACAGTATAATAGGGGACCTTTAATTGAACCATGTTTACCAGTATACAGTGTGTGTGTATGGATCTACATGCTGCCTTTAAACCCACCTGCATAATGCAAATACTCTCTTTTTAAGACACGCAGCCACTATTATTATTAATAATAATAAAAGGGCAACGGAAATATGACTGTGTGACTTTGAGCAACAACTTTCCATTCTGCTTTCCAGCCCTTTACTGGTTAACGAGGTAACTGGATTTTCTTACAGGTACATAAAAAAAGATCAGAATACTGTCACATTAAAAAAAACAAGAGATCTTTGGCCAAAAGAAAGTAATCAGGTTACTTACATTTTCATACTCAGATAACACATTTTTAACAGGTAACAGGTCATTCTAACAGAACACATGAACGAATCCTGTTAGATTGAAGCATCCCATAATGTCAGTACACCAACTTGTCCTCGAGGGGAGCCTCTCTAACCATGGGCATAATTATGTTACCATGGTGACCGCACATGACCTGTCCCCATGGCTGGGATTTAAAGGACTGCCCTAAGGTCGCGCAGCTAATCCGTTTTAATTCATGTATCTTTACCGAGTTATTTGAAGTTATGCTAATGCCGTGAGTGTGTGTGTGTGTGTGTGTGTGCGTGTGTGTGTGTGTGTGTCATAGACAGAGATAGACAGGAAGTGGATGTACTGTGTCAGTTGAGTCAGTAAGGCTCCCTCGCTCCCGTGAGACTCTCTCTCTCTCTCTCTCCGTCTCTCTCTCTTTCCCCAGGAGACATAGCAGACTCTCTAACAAGCCCCCTGATTGGTCAGGCCTGGTGTTTTAGCATCAAAGAATGTGCACGTGACCCAACATGTCAAACTGTGCCCTGCTTCCCAAGGGAGTTAGAGGGGAGTTTGTAAAAAAAAATAAAAGAGGGTATGAACCTTTTCTCATGGACGTAACATCTGTAAACAAAGGAAATGTGGAAATATTGTCAGGAATTAACAACAAAGCACCAAAGTAAACCTAGTAGCAGGTATAGAGGGAGAATATGAGTACATATTGATATTACATGTGGAAAATAAATCAAATAATACACTATCTGTTTTTCATATTTGTTACAACTGTATTTAACTCATATAAGCGCTTTATGCTCTAAATTTGCACCTGCAGGCAATATCTGTTCATATTATTTTCCCATTTATACAAAATTGTCTGCATCTTGCCTCACATTTGCATTCAACTGTGATACTGTATTAAACTGTAACCTCATGCCCTGTCTGGTTAGATGTAAGCTGCATATGTTGTACTGTGTGTGATGACAATAACGCTGAATCTAATCTATAAAAGTTGACTTCATAGCAGTACAATTGCACTGTTAGATTATACAGGTGTACCTACAGTAATAAAGTGGAGTGAACTGTATATTGCTGTAGTTGAACTATAGGCTACATGAAATCTCAAAAATGTAATGTAGAATCCTTTGGAAGGTTTTCATAAAATCAAAGGCAATTCAATATTTTTGACAAAGGATCCTGGAATTTCAACAAAAACAAATTGTGTTTTTTTTTTTTACAGTCTCTGTGTTTCCAGCAAATTGTGTGTATTATAAACAACTGGTTTGCAAAGAGCTTCATTTCCTCCACAGACTGACAGCGCCATCTAGCGGTGAGAGGCTAGAATAGCAACCCATTTCCATACAAAGTCTGAGCATGTTTTCATCAGTTTACCATGCTCTTAACGCACTCTGCAGATCCATTCATTCACTATTTTGACTTATAGTAGGAAAGAAAGCACCATTGTCATTAGTAAACCTTAAAGACAGGGTATATGCAGGAATCCTGAAGTCAAATGTAATACCTTTTAAGACCATACATTTTAAGACCTCATCGCCACTTTGAGTTTTAACCGGTTACCTTGGCGACACACTTTACCTCACATTGACTATATACAGTATTGATTGTCCTTCCTCCTTATCTTCCAACCATTTGGACGCAAACTTGTATTTCCCCATAACGATGTTGTTTAACAACCGGCGTAAACGGACCTTCGCGCGCTATCAAGCAGTGAGCGTGCGATGTCCTGTTCAGATGACGTCAAATCCAACGGGATGCCATAAATAAACTATACAGAATCACACTACACACCTACGCAATGATTACATTCAGGCAAACTGTAGAATACAACCTCTTTGGACAATTGATATACTTATAGAAAACAAGCTACAAAATGTAATACCTTGGAAAATGCCGTTTAATACTTTTTAATAGCCTTCATTTTCATTAAATTGATTTATCAACTTTTAATACTTTTTAAGACCCCGCGGACACCCTGACAGATCTCATTGGACAGCTTCAAACAGAGCAGTAATTAACGTGATTACTCACACCTGTGCATTTCCTGCTGTAACAAAGGCCCATTTTACCACAATGCATTGCAGCAATCGCTTAGAGGAGCTCCTCACAGCTGCAAACAGTTTGAGGTAATTGCGGACGTGATGAGACATCTACCAAGAGATATCCATTCAATCTTTGCAACAGCTTTCTTCTGAGTAAAATACATTGTTTTTTATGTATCTATGTTTTTGTGCACCTGCAAGTGAGCATTTTAACTATAATATGATACAAAAATGAACACTTATACAGCGTTATGTGCGTATTATTAGAATTTCTAGACTCACAGATGGTAGTTTCTAATATGTTTGACACTAGATGCCTGCGTACATCTTGATAAATGTTAAATCCCCGTGCTTATAGAGACTGCAAATGAAATTACTCCAGGACGTAAATTGATTTATGCCAGAAAGTCTTATATTTGATTAAAGTTAATGCTGTTATGAGCCAATTAATTTAGATTATGCACAGTGGAACGATGTGAAAAGCAAGTACCCAGTATCTCTTTCATCTGTGCACCCTAACTTTGTGTGTGTTATTTAAAAATAAATGCTTACCCTATGGTGAAACAGCTGATTACGGTTCCCAAAAACGCAAAGGTCAGAACAGATCCAAGATTCCCAATTAATCGTTTCTGGAGAAAAAGAAAAATGAACACCAATTAGTAACAACAAATACACAGCTCAACAATATCAAACACAGTGACTTAAAGTGTATATTTATATACTTATACATGCACAAAAACCTAGATAACACACTACTGGAACGGGAAAACCCCCAAAAAGTACAATAGGGCCGGTTTGAGCATCACAAGTCGAGTGCGTTGTATATTATATATAGACGACATCTTACGCCCGTTATCTCCAAAACTCTCAGTAAAACATCCATATGTGTAAAAATGAAGTATATACATGCATTTGTGTCCCTTTCTACTCCATGTCACACACATGTCACATGATATTTCTCCCTCTGATGGAGCCTCCTCACAGAGTTACAGTCCTTTGAAGGCGTCTCCTCTCCTCCTCCTCCTCCTCCTCGGAGGCATGTCAGGACAGCAGTCTCACCTGATTAAGGGTGTAAGCTCCGTGGAAGATGATGGGTGGCAGGAACAGATTGAAAAGGACCTCAGGATCAAAGGTCTCCTGTAAAAGACAGATCAGTTGTGTTGGTGAGTGGCAGCGCTCCGTGGGGAGGAGAGGTCTCCGTTTAGCGAATGTGACAGACTGACAGACAGATATTACACAACCGTGGTTCACTCGAGCGCCTCTGTTTTGGCAGCTCTTTTTTCCCTTTGGATCCCAATGTCACAATAGTCTCTAGATACCGTGACAACCTTATCTGTCCTCTCTTTGCAGAAAACACACTATTCCACATTGTTAGTAGGAAAGAAAGTGTGACAATGCAGGCTTTTTTTACCCACCCACGAACGAAGAGTTAGCAACCAATGTATGTATACAAATAATCTCTTTTAAGCTTAAAGTCTAACTTACGTATAATATAATTACTATGTACTGCAATAGCGAAAAAAGCGTATTAAAAAGTGAGAAGTCGACCTGTTAACATAGAGGGAAGAACCACACAACAAAGGAGAAGAAGACAAAAAGAATAAGACCCTTTATCACCAAGGGATATTATATACACACACTACACACACACACACATCACAGGAGCTATTCACAGTAGATAGTGAAGCTGCACATGTGGAGACAATAGATGGACCGACATCAAACAGAATCACAACAGCCTACACCAGCGTGGAAGCAAACTGTAACGAGAGTGCAAGGCTTATTTTATTTTAACACACCGTGCACGTCCTCTATCTGAGTCTCATCCCAACCAACGTGACGCAACACGAGAAAAGGTAGCCTTTCATGTCCTTCATCCTCCAGTCCTTCTCATGTCTATTGTGGGTAGGATCAAACGGCACAGATATTCGATTCAGAAGAAAATAACGCAACTTTTTCCTGATCCCTACATCCCCCCCCCCCCCCCAGGTCTTAAATTCAATTCCAGTTCAATTCCATTTTCAGAGATGTGCGGACGATGCATGCTGTGCGTCACCGACCCTTTGAAGTTTGGACAAATGAGAATAGGCAAATGTTTCTACAATAAATTGCATTTTTACATGTGCACATTTACATTGATGTGTAAGATTGCATTTGTAATGATCAATCCTGATGCTGCAAAGCCCTTTCTATTGAGTTTGGAGAGCCACCGTGCTTTTTCTCCGTAATTCACACTTAAAACGGTTTCCAGAGCTTTCTACAAATTGCTCTGCTCCTATCACCCGGCTCAATATAAATTACTTTTTTGTGCCTGCAATTACCCACACAGCAGAATATATGCATCTTTTAATCTGTGCAGGCTGTGCATGTCAAATATAAAATGGCATAATACAGACAGTGTCATCAATAAATGATGCGTATGCTGGTGGTTTTATTCTAAGGGCCACCTGCACCACAGAATGAAGGATGGAGGTGTGTTGTATACACTAATTGCCTCTTCAGCTGAGCAGCACTACATTTAATCAGACCACAAACTTTAATGCTTTACTCCCGAGAGGCACATAATGGACTCAGTAATGCAATGAAATTCTTATCTCTCTCGCAGCTAGGTCCCCATATGCATCGGGCTTAATGGCGTGAAGGCTACACAGAGCGCTCTGACCAATGTAATGGCCTTTTTGGTAGCCTCTGCTGGTTTGCTAATGAGACCCGAGCATCCAACGGGGGCCAAAGAGTCCGAGCCATTAGTGGAGACTTACACTTGGCCCGGATGATTTGCAAGGTCCACGGATCACTTACTCCCTTTTCTCTCGGGGTGAAATATCGCTCTGAGATCAGGAAATACACTTTCAAATACGCTCATTTCACATCCGACCATGCTTGTTCTCCATCGAGGGGCCATGGCTCGATGCTTGGGTGCTTTTTGATATCTAAGCTTGGGGAATAACGTGATCAGAATACAAAAAGAAAGGTGGCTGTATTCCCTTAGATATATCAAAAAGATCAGATTAATGTCACATTTCTAAAAAATTGGGGATGACTAGAATCATTACAGTGTTAGTAACAACCTAAAAACATCATATGGTGTTTGTTGTAAAGGATCAGATGTTATCTCTTCTCTGTAAACTGTACTGGATAATACTTTCAGTGAGGCCCCGGCTCCACGGGAATCTATACTTCTACTATACTTCTACTGCCTGAATCTGCTTCATGGTTTTCACTTTCTTTGCTTCATTGGTTCTGTTTTTAATTCAGCAGGTTAACATATGTTCATAAAATAGTGTGTGTGAGCTTAACTGTGTGTGTTAAACTCAAACGGACCAGCTCAAATTGTATTTCTGCTTTTTTAAACAGTAGTCTGTGCTCATATCACTGTTGGTGTGTAGGCTGAATATGCGTCATGAAAGGCAGGTTTTCTTATCAATAAAACCATTTTTTATCCTAAATATCTTAGTTTCTACTTTTCTGAGGTCACATTGTTCTGTTGTCTTACATAATACACTTCAGTAAAACCAATATTATTGATATTTCCTTTCTTTTGTATTCATTTGTATTGCAATCGAGGTTATGAAAACCAAAGTAAATGCTTCGACTCTCCGATTCATTCATTTTGAACTGATAATTGCTGTGAGGAGTTTCCAGCTCAATTATTCCTGTTGCGCATTAGAGGACACACATTACACAAATATACTTTGATAAAGGGTTTATGTATGTAGCATTTAAATAAGCATTAAAAAAGCATAAAGCTTCCTCCTCCTGGTTAAAAGATAAAATATAACAATTTAATTCCACCCGAAAACCTTGAAATTGCTTCTCATTTAATTGTAACATTAGTGCAACTCCCTTTTCTCTCCTCTGTGTGATTAATCCAAAATGCGCGAGAGAACATTTTTGAAATGCACTTTTTAAGCTAAGAGTTTTCTCCTCATGTCCGGGAGTTCTCAAAATGTGGCTTAAGTTTAGTGGCTCCTTAAAAAACACTTTTTTATATGATCCTTCTCATCTTAACTTCACACACACTATGTCTTTTATTGCATTACATTTGATTTTTTAAAAGCTTTTATGACTATTTGACGTCATTTTCATTGGTTTAATGTTTAATTGTTTTATGATTTAGTGCTTTTTTGTGCTCTTACCCTGTAAATCACCTTCTAAACCTTGTATATAAGGTGCTTTCTTATCATTTATTATTATTACGAGTACTCTAATGGAATAAAAACACCAAAAAAAGTATCTTATGTTTTGGTACCTTTGTCTATCATAGTGTGCACTGACCATTCTGTATATTAATATTGTTTATTCGGTAGAGATGCTCTATAGGTGTATATCTTTCCTATCCCTTTCATTTTTATTTCATGTGCAATGCCTTGTCTTCATGCTAAGATGAAAAACAATCCCACATTTGGATCAATAAAGTATATCCACACACACACACACACACACACACGGCTCAGTGTTGACAGTGAGTGACGAGAGGAATACTGACACTGACTGTCAGCTCGACACTCGGTGACACCGCAAGTATCTCCTTCTGCAAGATACTGACTGTGGCATTGTTGTGTCGTGTGTGTGTGTGTGTGTGTGTTTCACATTGGATAGATACAGATAAACAGGTAAACAGTAGATTGTGAGAAAAATGTCCGGCGCAAATCCTTGTTGTAACTGCCACAAGGGAAACAAGCAAAACAAAATTACCATATAATGAAAACATTGCCAGGTATGGAGAAAGACACCACACACACACACACACACACACACACACACACACACACACACACACACACACACACACACACACACACACACACACACACACACACACACACACACACACACACACACACACACACACACACACACACACACACACACACACACACACACACACACACACACACACACACACACACACACACACACACACACACACACACACACACACACACACACACACACACACACACACACACACACACACACACACACACACACACACACACACACACAATCTGTTCCTAATAAATCCCTAATATAGGTTAAATTGCCTTCTATTTTCCTCGCTGTACCACCACTCTCCTGCCTCCCTAATAACAAACAGACCATGCAGGTAATTTAGAGGAAAACCAATAGCTAAGCTCCATTAGAGGAGACTGTCTCTGCAGATATACACCAGAGGGAAAATATAGGTGTAGGAAGACAAAGTGTTATTTCAGAGCAAATAAAAGTGCACCAGTGGGAGAGAAAGCATCCTTCACGGAGCATTTTGTTTCCACTCGTTCCTATGCAACATTGATTTTGTACCTTTTTTAAAGCGAATGTTTTATTAAGACAGGTTGTTTCCCCTTCCATTAGAGACTATGTTGTGGCACAACCTGCAGCACCTATCCACATTAATAATTCACTTTTTTTTGCATGTATTTGAAATGCAGGTCAATTCAAATCACCATATTTACCATATGAGGGGTTGAGAGCGCTGGGACTCCATCACTGACTTTTCTAACGTTTCGTGGAGATTGAGATGTGATGTTAACCGGCAGGAAGTGAGGAGTGATGTTAAGACCACTGCAATTGCACAATGCCTCCATGTTGTCCAGGTTTTCTCCCCGGTAAAATGACAGGAATTTCACAGTTAGCCCCACGAGCATGCCTGCAAAATAGAACAACAAATAAATATAAGCTGCTGTTGTAAAAACTAATACATTATGAATAATACAACCATATTCCAGGAGTAAATAAATCATGGTGCAGCTACTATAATGCAAAAAACTACTTATGGTGACAGTCCTGTAGAGACACAACCCTGTACAACAAAGCCTATAAGAAAAAGTCTAAAATACATGCTGCTATACAGATAACACATTCAATTGCAAAGTTAATATTGCATGATTGAAGGAGGATAACATGCTCACTGGTGGGACATTAATAGTGTATGGTATCTGGAGCAATATATGCAACCTGTTTGGTGTAATGACAGCCTAAATTAAAAGTGTGATGATGATCAGATAACATGTTGGAAAATGTAGAAACTGTCTCATTCACATCTATTTTTTTACCGTGTTTTCGTATTGCATACATGCAGTGTGTGGGTTTGAGGTTATCCACATAAAAGTCATATTTAAAGAGTACCTATTAAGAGGCGGAAGAAGTATTCAGATCTTGTACTTGAGTAAAAGTAGAAGTACTCAGATCTTGTACTTGAGTAAAAGTAGAAGTACTCAGATGTTGTACTTGAGTAAAAGTAGAAGTACTCAGATGTTGTACTTGAGTGAAAGTAGAAGTACTCAGATCTTGTACTTGAGTAAAAGTAGAAGTACTCAGATGTTGTACTTGAGTAAAAGTAGAAGTACTCAGATGTTGTACTTGAGTGAAAGTAGAAGTACTCAGATCATGTACTTGAGTAAAAGTAGAAGTACTCAGATCTTGTACTTGAGTAAAAGTAGAAGTACTCAGATCTTGTACTTGAGTGAAAGTAGAAGTATTCAGATCTTGTGCTTGAGTAAAAGTAGAAGTACCAGAGTTTAGGAATACTCTGTTACAGTAAAAGTCCTGCATTCAAAATGTTACTCAAGTAAAAGTAGAAAAGTATTCTCATCAAAATCTAGTGAAAGTAGCGACAGTAAAAGTAGTCATTGTGCAGATTGGTCCATTTCAGAATAATATATATGATATGTTTTATGATTGATCATGAAAGTGTTCTCAAAGCTGGTAAAGGTGCAGCTAGTTTGAATGACTTTGTATACTGCAGGGTAGCTTGTGAATTTACTCCAGGTGGAACTAAAGTCTGATTTAATACTTGATTATATTTCACATCATTCATCCAGATCTGCCTAGTAACTAAAGGTGATAAATGCAGTGGAGTAAAAGTACACGATTTACCTCTGAAGTAATGGAGTACTACTGAGTTACTTCACACCACTGCCTATGCCATTCATCACCATAAAGCCAGATACAAAAGACAGATACAAAAGCCAATTAAGTATAATATGTAGAAACCTCATTCTTCTTCTATGGTATCACTTAGTTGTTAGCAATTTAAGCTAACCTGGAACTCATTGATAGTTAATTATGAATACAGATAAACAATAACAATGGTGACTAAAGCTAAAATAGCTAATTTGAGACCACTAGAATCCCAGTAAAGCCCAAAAGTCGACACCAAACTGTGGTTATTTTAACATCCTGATACATGTTAAAGCTGTGCGTTCAGGAAGTGTTATTGAATTTAACGGCTTCCGTTTTAATTTAGCTTAGGTTTTCTTACCATAAAACATTGCCCCTCCAGTTTCATTTAAAAGTCTATATTTGCACTGTTTTGATTTCCACACAGTGAGGATGGTTAGAAGTGCCAAGCTAGTTGCTGAAAGTAGAATTAAGGTTGTATTTTCTTGTCTTTGCTCCATCTTCATCTTCAACACCGAGGTCAAACTTTTCGGAAACTACTGTTGTGTCTTTGATTCAAGTGCTGCCTTCAGTGCTGCTCGGAAATCTCTGCTTCCTCACAAACGTACGGAAGTAACCAGTCTATCCCTGTGAAACAACTACAAGTATATATGAGTGAGTATACGTTTATTTAATATAAATAAACAGCGTTAAGATATTTAGTTGGCTACACTAAGCTATTGGTGCAACAAATGTGTAGGAGGAGAATCATAATTCCATTACGAGTCCCACAGCGGGGACATTTACGGTGTTACGCAAATGTTGCATAGCAAGAAGAAGAGAATCTAAGCAAAACAAATTAGTTTAAAAATAACCAAGTGACAAACATATGAAAATATTGAGACTTAAAAAGAAATTACATTTGTTAGGACTGCTTTTAACCTTCTGTTCGACCATATGGTAGAGCTCACTTTGAGTGTTTTACTTAATTCCACCTGTCAGTAATCTCTACCACATGTTGACGTTATTTTTGATGAAAAACTTTAGAAGTATGGTTTTTTTAACTATCTAAAACCATGCTTTACTGAACGGTTGAAATGTAATTTAGTGGTAAAACGTAGTGATGCCAAGATGACACATTTACAATTTATATAAAAACTGTTTATTTAATGCAATTCAATGAAATACTAGATGAAATATATCAGTATGAGATGCAGGCAGACACAAAAAGACAATGCAAGAAATCAGGACACAGGTTCGTTAAATGAAGGGCAGAGACATGTTTCAAGGTCAAGTCATTTTTATTTAAAAAAGGCACTCAAAAGAAATGGAACTCAGGAAATGTTGCTATAAGATAACGATTGTTTGTTAGAAAAACTACAAGGTTAAACTAAAAGGATCCAAGTTGGTTCAATGAACAGGAGCAAAGTATAAAAGCAAGACAAATGCAAATCAAAATTAGCAAACAAAACAGCAGCAGGTGAACCTAAAAGCAATGGTTAAATTAAGGGTAAAAATGGCTCACCATGTGGCATACAAACAATTGAGGTTCTGCCCTACTCACCATATGAAGAGTTTTTGGGAAACTACTGAACTTCAGGACAATCTGCAAGGAAGCAGTACGTGAGCATATACTACTAGCAGAAATGACTCAATGTATCCTTAGTAATAAGTTATGCAGCCTACAGTACCTATCATATGACAGCAGAGCCAAATGAAACAACAGAGGGCCACCAGGTGCGTTTTATACCCTGCTCTAATTCAGGAGCATAGTCATGTTCATATACTGAAGAAAAAGAAACAAATTCACCTTTTTGTAATGACATTTCAACCGTTTGGTAGAGGCCTATATATTTAATAAAAACAACCCTAACCCAAACGGTAAGGTCCTTTGTCAAACATTGATTGTTGTTATTGGCCCAAGGAAGTACAACATGTAAAGAAATAATGTATTAACCGTGATTATTGCACACTACAATTGGTTTATTGCCCAACAGTCTGAATAAAATGCAATAACAACCTAAATACATGACAAATAATAATATCTAATGAGCCTAGTAAAGAAGCCTGTTTGACAATATAGATCACTATTTCCGAATAGCATGGCTCATGTCGTTGTGTCTTTACTATGCTATAAAATAATTCCGGTGTTTCCTGAAGCATCTGAACGCATCTCAGCGTATCTGTCATCCTCTTCTTGTCCAGCAGATGGCAGTGAATGCAAACTAACGGGCTCTCTGTCCCTCAGCGATGAGTGAATTAGTAATGAGCCTTAATTAGCAATTTTAATTACATGTTGGTTTGTTTGTTGCTGACCCATTTCGGCATTTTATTTACTTCAAATGTAACCCAGTATCTGTACAAATAAAAACACTTGAGCATGCTTAAATTTAGGCCTACGTATGGTATGTGTCAATCATTTTTGCCCTTATGTTGACTGAATATACCACAGTTAAATTAGGTTTTATGTTATATTAGACGTGTAGTTGATGGTGTATAGAGAGGTCAAACTTACTACTGTGTTATCTGATAAAGAAAGCAATGGGCTGTTGTTTCATGAGGTTCACAACACCCTGAAATATATATGAACGGTTGTTTTTGAGTGTTTTTGGCCGGATAATTTCGTCCAAGAGCAATGTTGACACCTCTGATGCTGCAGGTTGTTTATTACATTGTGTACATAATACACTTTTCACATATCTTTAGGTATTGTGTTTACATGTGCAATTTACTGTGTTTGAATTATGTCAACATTTCCATTAATATACGTATTTCACATAGCTGGATATATCTACAAGAATTGCACAATTATCTAAATATATATTTGATACTATATATTCTCAGTAAAAAAGAAATGTATATATTCAGAGGAGTATCTAAACATGAAAAAATATACAGAATGAATTAGAATACTCCCCTATATAGCAATCTACTGAACATATAAACACTACTATTATACATATATATTGTACTATATACATACAAAAAGTGTGTAAAGTAGCTTTAAAATAAGAGTAAAATATGTCCTGTTTAGGAGTAAAATAAATCCTGTTTGAAGAGTCAAATATCTGCTGATTAAGAGTCAAATATCTGCTGTTTACATCAAAATTAGACAGAGTAAAAAACAGAGCATTTGGTGCACCTCGCTCAGGGGGCGGTGTTCCATTCCAGACATGACAATATTAGAATAATCGCTTAGCAACCAGCGCCATAAACCGTATGCGGGTGTCGTAAAGCTCATAGAGGCTGGTGTTGTAAAAAAGAGTGGAAACAGAACCCATTGTGGTGTTGGAGAGGAGTGAGCTGCAGACAGAAGAAGAGCCAGAAAGAGGCAATACTGTGACCACAAAGGACGCGTGATCTGCGGACAGATATGGACCGTAATGCACCGCAACATGTGTGAAGAGCACCGTGTTTTCCATGCAGAAAGACCCGGTACAGGGAAGAGTTAAACCCCGACATCACAACTGTTTATTCCTGCAGCTAGCTGGTTAGCAACCCAGGAGCTAGACATGGAAAACCCGTGTGAGTTTTCCTGATAGACATCTCCGTCGAGCTGTTTTTCTCTTTGCATAATGTCTGCGAGAAGCTGCAACTTCAGAGAATGATTTCCAGGGAGCGATAAGCTTTACAGGACTGCACACCCGGAGAGGAAAGAAAAGTCATACAGGTTTGTTCCACAGTTTTCTGCTTCTCTCAGTCCGTGTGCACGCTGAACTATGTCTGGACTCATGCATGCCTTAGTGTGAATTTTAGGATCATTCTTCAGGTAATAAAGGGTTATACCGCTCCTAACACAGGTGGAAGAAGCACTCGGATGTTTTATTTAATAAAAGTAGCAATACTACAGTGTAGAAATACTCTGTTACAATTACAAATCCTGCATTCTAAAAAATGAATTGGCATTAAAAAATACTTTAAGTACCAAAAGTAAAAGTACTAGTTGTGCAAACAATTAAGCACCAGATATGTTGGCATTATTTGATAAAAGTTTTGCATTTGCGTTTATCACTTTGTAAATGTCTAGTTTATTTGAATGAATGTATACTCTACTGGGTAGCTTAACCTTTAATATTATAATATAATGTTATTTTGTATGAATAACCTCAATCTGCATAGTAACTAAATATGTCAATGAAATGTAGTGCAGTAAAAAGTGGAACATTTGCCCACAAAATGTAGTAAAATGGGAAAGTAGCTCAATTTTTACCGTCTCCAAACAGATTTCTTAGTTTTTCAGTATTGTGAGCACATGCTTTACACTTAGAGTGTCACTGTTTCTACCTCAGACATGATGCAATGTTGAGATAAGACTCTAAACTATAGTATTTTTGGGGTTTTCTATTAATAAACTCTTATCATATGCCTAAACCCACCGATTGGAGACAGAGATTTTATTATTGCTACTATTAGATCCGCTGCAACATAACAATTTGGCATCAAAATGACAAACATTAGCAGTCTTTTTCTCTATGTAATCTATTTCCAGGCATGTGAGGTATCCAACATAAACCATTCTTTAATAATGAATAGGCAATGACATCCAAACAAACCTCTAAGCATGTATTTCTTTTGTCATTTGAGTGCAGAACATATTATACTCTTGCAACATCATTGCGGTTAAAGAAGGATTTATTAGCCTGAGGCAACAGGCTTAGTTTTAAATGGGTCATTAGAACTATTTAATCAACACACCATGTTTCTCCTACCATGAATACAGCACTGTAGTTTGTGAGTACTCAAAGTCAACAGGTGTTGGTCGATTGATTTGCATTGTTGTTGTTGTTGTTGACGTGAGAAAACAGCAGGTTGAACTACTTATCCATCGAACAGAGAGGCGTGAAAACGAATGTAAAAGAATCACTTGACCCTGAGATTTCTATGATTATACGCTCTTTGCAACTTCTGTCCTTGATTTCTTTGAAGAAAAGCAGATTACCACAAAGCCTTTCTGTTACAAAGTCTACAACGAGTCCTCAGGAATGTGTGTGTGTTCAGTTAATGAATAGAACAGGCTGCTTAGGGATCATCTTTCCATAACAGGAGGCTAATTGTGGAGCCTTTTCTCCAAGGTTAGTCAAAGGAACTATAAAAATAGTGCGAGGCACTTTAAGATTTATCTGCTGGAGGTTGATTCGGATGTTTCTCAGCGCTCAGCGGGGAAATGTTGTGTAATTGTAGCCTAAACAGCTCCCACAGGATCGGTGCATTTGAGTCTCTGACCTCACTCAATCAAACTCGGATTAATGGAGCAACATGAGGAGTGACCTTAAATTAAATAACATCTGTCGGATAATCAATTTTATTTCCCCCCCCACTGCAAACATACTCCACATTTGTTTTGACAGTTTATGTGTCATCCGCTTTCACTTGGATGACACATTTGTTTTGCAATAGTATTAACATGAGCTTGACAGCTTTTCAAACTTCTTGTAATAAAGACAGCTGTTCTAAAATAAACAAAACCATCGTGTTGAAGACTCCCGAGTTCAAGTGTTTCCAAACAGCTGCATCAGTTTTGCCGCAAGGTATTGATATTCTCCTCAAAATCTCCAGCGTGTGGTTTCGGGCCACAGATGATCGGACTAATGTTGAAGTGCGGGTGCCGTTAATTGGTACTCAGTTTGCCATTAGCCGTCATTTTGTATCCATCCTTCGCCGTCTACGTGTTTTCTGCATCGAGGCAATCCGGCTGTGGCTGAATGTTTTTTTGATCAAACATTATTGACTCCCTCTGTCGATAACCCTGGCAACAGTAGTTCCTCTCCTCAGTTAGATGCAATGAAAAGTAAAGGGGGGGGGGGGCATTTTCTGAGTCGGTTTTAATACTGGCGGTCTCCGTAGGCGTTCATATGTGCGTCCATCCAGCTGCTGCTCTGTATTTTGCTGATCGCCTTCCATTTTCAAGAGCAATAAGTCCTCTCACCTTGCCGTCCATTAGCTTTACATTTTCCAAACCCTTTCTCTGTGTTCTAGCCCTCTTTCAAAACTTCGCCCTCCTTTGCATTTCCAGTGGAATTAATCAACCATGTTCATCTGAGGCTTGACTTCATTATACAGTAATGAAGTTTAGCCTTAGGTGCACCGAAGGAAATGGGTTAGCCCAGAGTAGCCTCGTACACCATTATCAGGAACCACACCAAGAGATCATTCAAGGGTGGAAATGTCCTTCTCTTTCTTATCTGGTTTCCGTTCTATCTAAGTTTTAATAAAACATTGAAATATTAGAATAATACACTGTCATCTTCCCTCTGTCCTGACTTTTTTGTCATTCTGTTTTAAGACAACTTCATCCTGAGCCTCTTCTGTCCCAGTAACGAGCCATTTTGCGGCTCTTAACATCTGCCAAACTTGGAACATTTTGAATGCGAGACTCATCTCCCATGCATGAGGAGTCAGGCATCCTTTGATTCGCCCTCTTTTCTTTTCCTCTCCTTCCAAGCACTCGCCGCGCTACTTTGTAGACCGAGTGCGCTCAAAAACTTTCTTACCCCAGTTTTGGCAGCGGCTGTTTATGTTGAGAGGTAGTTTTACTCTAAGCAGGGTTTTCCTCTTCGTGTTGTGCATCCCTCTTCCTCATCATCGCAGAGTAGAGGCACCGTGGGGGAGGACTGGAAGAGGGAGGCTAATTTAAAGCATACGTTTTCAGTGGGTGTGGTTAGTCCAAGAGAAAACACTGCTTTACATTTCACTGCTGTGTTATACCACAAAACATCTGGGTTTAATTTGAAATGTCTAAGTGAACTTTCACCTTGTCAAAAACCTGAGTAGGCAACCTTGAGCTCTGTACAGTCGGCCTTCCTCTCTGCCTGTCTCTTTAAACAACTCAGACATTGGCTGGCATACAGAAATAAACATTGAGGAAGTTTAAATAAATGATTTTGCAGGTGTTTGAAGAACGGGTAATTACCAAGGGCAACATGTTCCCGTCTTAAATGACCATGCATCTTTTCCACACTTTTTCACTCCGTCTCAGCAGCTTGCTTTAAAAAGCACTAGTAGCATTTTAATTCCTATACCCTCCTGCTTCATGCTTAACAAAATAACCGGATCAAGGATAAGCCATCAGGGGCCGATCGGTGCATCTCACTGTCAACATGTCAGGCAATTGAACACCTTGGTTGCCTCTCATTAACAAACTAAATGCAGCGTGTGGCTTATCCTTTCGCTTTGGCAATTAGTACGGTCATCGACATAATCCAGGTAACGCACACAAGGTAATTGAGGCCTAACGGTTTCTCTGATGAGGAGGAGGAGGAGGAGGAAGAAGCCATGTATCCTCGCCATGTTAGCCGCCAGCTTGTGCCACATTACAGGCCTTTTTCCAGTTTGCCCGGGCTCTCCGTTGCTTTCCCTTCCGGATGAAGATGAGATCATCCCCACATCCTGGATCAGGATATGTTTTGTCCCCTTGGAGCCCTTTTCTGATCCCTAAAAGCTCAGATCTGCTCCCAAAGTCTTGCAGCCACGTCTGTGCTGCGACTGGATGCTAAATGCTACTTGAATTTAGATCTTTTATAACAATAGGATATTCAGTTTCCCCCCCCCCCCCCCCCAAGCAATCGGCTTCCTCTCAATCCCTGGAGAAGAAGGCACACATACTTTTAGCTCCTATTGTTGTTTTTGGAGGGTTTTCCATACAGACTTCTTTTTCCATCTCCCAAAGCGTCTTACTTTCCCAATTCAATATGGATATATCGCAGAATTTAAATGAACTGTTCCCAGGCTCTATTAAATAATACTATTGCTGGCAGTGTTTCCGCCAGACCAGGGCTGAGAGGACGTCCACCCCGAGAGCAGGGGGGGAGGGTTGTGTGACGTCACGTCGTGTCACGTGACTTGAATTTTGATTTGAGCCGTCCCTTATAGATACTATCTCTTTACGTATTAGTGAAGGGAATTCCGGCTCTTTTTAGTGAGCCGGATCATTTGGCTCGGCTCACTAAGAAGGGCCGGCTCTTTTTAGTGAGCCGGATCATTTGGCTCGGCTCACTAAGGAGAGCCGGCTCTTTTTAGTGAGCCGGATCATTTGGCTCGGCTCACTAAGAAGAGCCGGCTCTTTTTAGTGATCCGGATCATTTGGCTCGGCTCACTAAGGAGAGCCGGCTCTTTCGGCTCCCAAACGGCTCTTCATGTTACCACAGTTTACCACGGAGCCTCAGTTTCGCCGCTGCGAGGCTCCGGCGCTCGCAGTTCACGCGCGTGCTCCGGCGCTCGCAGTTCACGCGCGTGCTCCACTAGCACCCCCCGTCAATGCTCGCCGGCAGTACACTTTCCGTCACAGGAACACGCTTTGCTGGCGGCGAAAATAATCCCACCAGACTCCTTTGCCCCTCCAACAGAGGGATGTCCTTGTCCTTTTTCCTTTTCGTCATTTCAAGCGATAAAAACTCTCCATCTTCTCTCAGATTATAATTTTTTTTGGACGCCCTCGGCTCGAGTTCAGGGCGGTCCGAGCTGAATAAGGGCGTCAAATGACGGCAAGACGCCCCCCTGCCGGAAACGCTGATTGCTGGTTTTTTAAGCTCATTCTGAGGGGATATCAGTTCAACATTTATCAAACTGGAGGCATTTTGTTTAAGTCAGCCTAAAGTTGTCCAACGAAATGCAGATTCACACAAAATGCATAAAGACTCATCTTTTCCTTACGTGTTTTGCTTCTGCAATATCTCATTCTACGTGGGCTACTATGTGAAATATAAAGTAGTATTTAATAACCGTCTTCTAAAAAGATTAATTCAGAAAGCGTAAAATTACCAATATCAGTGTGCTGTTCATTACGATGATAACATTAATAATGAAATAAATGCCGACCCATATCTTGGGGAAATTGTAACACATTACCATAAAGATTTACAGTAGCTATTTGGTTTAATACGGAGAATGATTTAAGATTGCTTCTATTTAAAAGGATGTAATGTAACATTATCCCCATCTTATTTATAGTGCAGAGAAGAAGAGCATATGCTCACCGTTGAGAGACATAGATGGATAGATGGATAGGTAGGTAGGTAGATAGAGAGAGAGAGGGTAGGTAGATAGATGGATAGGTAGATAGATAGGTAGATAGATAGAGAGAGGGTAGGTAGATAGATAGATAGATAGATGGATAGGTAGGTAGATAGATAGATGGATAGGTAGATAGATAGATAGATACTTTATTGATCCCAAATTGGAAAATCCTTTTGTTACAGCAGCATTGTGTTCAGGCATTAACATATTTAAAAGGTTGAATAAAGTATAAGCATAATAAACAGCAAATATCTACGGTAGAAAAGACATGTCCCACCATGAATCCACAATATCAAATGTTCAGGATAAGTTGGAATATTCTATAAAATACCAAAACACAACAGCATCAGAAATATAGACGTAAACTATGAGTCGCATTGCCGGAGTTTTAGATTTGAGGCGAGGAAAAAGCATGAATCATATTTTCCTATTCCTTAAAAATACATTTAGTTCCCAAATGTTGCCTGATTTGCTGGTGTGATTTGGCCTCCTGTTTCTTCCTAGATCTCAACCACTTTCGATGTGAAAGCAAAATGCGAGGCACCCATCGACACGGGCGCTAATCACACCAGTGTGGCTGCTTGTTAGCCATGCCCTCTCAAGTCAGCTGTCCTAATAGGCATGTCCTAATGAGCTCAAATTGAGGATTGCTAATTTGCATGGCCCGAGTCATTGTCTTGTCTTAAAGCGACTTATAAGACTTACAAGACTCATTGCTAAAAAGCTGATTGGGGGGTCTAACATGGCTTCATCATCATAGAGCAATGTTCTTATACTGAGAGCCGGATTGTTTCTTTCTTTCAAACTTCTCATCTCGGCTGACATCAATACGTCTAAGGCCTAGGCTCCACGGGGACGAAAACGGGTTGAATCCGCATATTTCTCATGCGTATAGCCCTTTAAGCTCGACGACGCCGTAACGGAAACGTAGAAACAGACCCCGCAAACGACAACGGGTCCAAAGGTGGATAGATCTGGGAACGGAGCGCTCTGGGGGGTCCAACGGGGCCGTGTGGTCGCCTATACGGTCATCCGTTTCATAGCCCCGCCTCTCCCCGCCTCTCCCCACCTCTCCCCACCTCTTCCCACCTCTCCGGTACCCCGCATCATTGCTGATGTGTTTCGTTAACAACAATAGCTATTTTAATTACCTCTCAAACTACCTAAACTAGTTATAAATATGTTTCGAGTCATCATTACTGGATCAGCTGCTGCATGAGACAGACACTGACGCTGTGAGAAGAGAGGAAAAAGAGACAGGCTCTGTGTATTTTATTATCATATATCATTATATCGTCGTTATTCATTTGTTTTAAAGCTCAATAAATAACAATGAAGACCTTTGACCGGCACTTTTATAATTTTGTCCGGAAGATTTAAACTTTAACACACGTTGACCGGCGAAAAACTCTGCCCGGATCCCTCGGCCCCCACCGCGGAGAATAAACAGAAGTGCAGCCATGACAACCATTCTTCTTCGCTGCTTTTGTGGAGGAAGTTGCTGCTTTTGTGGAGGAAGTTACAGCGCCACGTACAGGCTCGGCATATGTACTGCAGCTTTTCCAGCGGTTGGATGTAAACGGAGCTTGACACAATCCGGTGTATATTGCGTGTGGGCGGAAGGTTTTTTGCGGTTGCGTTTGCGTTACTCCGATGCGTTTTGCTGTATGCGTTCCCGTGGAGCTGGGGCCTAATAGAGGTATTCAGATTCCCCCTCACCCCCTCAACCAAGACGTTATTTTAGTGACACCAGCCATTTTCAAAGAAACGACTTCAAAGCCAGAATAAAACGAGTCAGGGCAACTCTGATCAAAGGTTAAACTACGCACAGCGTGACTTCTCTTCACAATGCAAAGCGTGATTTCTCCATTTGAAGCGAGATGGGGGAATAAATGCAGATTTCTGAGCTCAGTGTAACTGTTGAGGTATGCAGACGGCGTGTTATTTCGCTGTGCCTTGGAAGAAAAAGTGATGGATACTTCACTTCTGTGGCGGCGGAGGAAGGTCCGCTGAGGAATCATCCTCACAGAGCACGTCTTATTTTTACTAGGAGAGTATGTTGTTCACTTGCTCTTAATTTGATCACTTGACACTTTATTTTCCCCTTTCCCCATACTTTTATTTATCTCTGTTATTTTCACAAGAGTATACAAGAAATCATTTCCCAAAGAGAAAGGTCTCAAACCGGCACAGGCAGGTTTATTGCATTGGCTGTGGGCCATCTCATTTCTGCTCAAAACTCTCAAATGACCCAAGCAATTCAAATTTGTGAGACAATTTCTGTGCCAGAGTGGGGTCTTTTGGTTTTATAGGAGGTGTTGGATGTTAGGACTTCAGTAAAGGAGTTGCAGACCTTGCGAAAAAACCTTTTTCACTTGTAATCCATGTTTTTCCGTGTTATGAAATGTGGGTTTTTTTGATTTTCCTGATGTAATGAGTTTCCTTCTCCTTTTTTCTTCTTGATTTCAGGCCTGCTGGCTGGAGGTTGCACACAAGTACCAGGAAGGGAGAACATGACTCACTTGCCTCTGCCAGAGATTGGCACGGGGCAGCTGTGCCAACCTCGCCCCTGTCTGCCGATCTAGAAGATAACGTGCTACATCATGACGGAGAGGCATTGAAGTTATCTCCCTGACGTCTGAAAACCTCCCCTCCCCCATCATGCTGCGCTTCTTGCCCCTCAAAGTTGGCCGCCTGTACCGCTGTCTGAAGCTCTTACTGGTCGTGGGGTTGTTTGTCATCCTGTTGATGAACACCCACAGCCTGTTCGCCTCCTTCCAGAAGAACGAGCTCACCGACAGACGCTTCATCAACCTCAACAAGTGTCCTGCCTGCTTTGGCACGAGCTGGTGCCGCAAGTTCATGAACGGCCAGGTGTCCTTCGAAACTTGGGGTCGCCTGCGATTCCTGGACGTTTTCAATGTGAAGAATGTTTATTTCGCTCAGTACGGGGAGCCCAGGGAGGGAACTCGACGAGTGGTGCTCAAACGGCTCGGGTCAAATCAAGAACTCGCCGAGATAGACCAGAAAATCTGCAAGAGAGCGACGGGGCGACCGCGCTGTGATCTGATCCAGGCCATGTACAAGACTGAGTTCGCCCGGATCAACGGAGATGTGCGCCTGCTCACTCCTGAGGTGGTGGAGGGCTGGTCAGACCTGGTGCACTGCCCCTCTCAGAGGCTGCTGGACAGGGTGGTCCGCAGGTACGCTGAGACCAAAGACTCAGGCAGCTTCCTGCTAAAGAACCTCAAAGACACGGAGAGAATGCAGCTGCTCATAACCTTGGCATTCAACCCCGAGCCGCTCGTACTGCAGGTAACGTCTGTTTTAACTTAAAGGTCCCCTATTATACTGTTTTTCATCAATATATTATAGGTCTCAGATATATACAGAGCCTGTCTCTGATTGGCTGAAACACCAAACAGATCATCGCAGCATCCCATAATGCCCTCTGTTTCAGCCCTGTTTCAAAAGTGCTGATTCTCGCTAATGGTTACACAAGCCAAAAAATCGTTATGACATCATAAAGTGGCCAAAATCTGATCAGCTCATTTTCAGACAGGTTTTTATAGAAATGGATCAGGACAAAAAGAGAGAGCATCTTTGTTCCTGAAACTTTCAGAGTCTCTTTCCACAGAGGGGACACATGTTGATGTAGAAGAGACATGAAGAAGAGGGGACACATGTTGATGTAGAAGAGACATGAAGAAGAGGGGACACATGTTGATGTAGAAAAGACATGAGAAAGTATATTTTTGCATAATAGGCGACCTTTAACAGGAGCTGTGTGTGAGAGATTTGAGGCTTTCTTGTTGAGAGATGTTTGACTTAACTGTCTTTGAAGAAAATATTGCACCGTGATAAAAAGGTGTCTGTCGGCTAATCTGTGGTCACAGGTGTTGTTGATAAGGCTCCAGAGGCGATAGCGTATGCATCAGTACAAAGTGAGTCAGGGTGTCTCCCCTCAAAGCCCCCAGTAAATTACAGGGTGGGAATCCTCCTTCTCCTTTCCTCTTCCGTAGATCTGAGGCCAGCCGTTACACCCTCCCATAAACTCTCGGCTGCATCAGGACTACATGTCCGCCGCTATCTGGAGCACGAATCATCCTCTGCTTAGAATAGAGGAGGGGTTTAAGAGCTGTGGCCTCCCGAAAGATGAGAGATTTTTGTCTCACTGCAATACTGCATATTTAACACTATATGTAGGGCAGTTTTGAATAATTCAAGAATGCATCTGTAGATGGTCCAAGTTGTTTTTAATTTTGATATACGTCTGTGTCCACTGGACTCTCTTGGTTTGTGGTAGACGACACGTGGAGAGATATCTATGTGATGCTATTAGTCCTAATATTCTTTGCTAACCTTTTTTGAGCATTTTATGTTTGATAAAGTTGTTCTTATAATAATATGGTTCAGAAACATTACAAATCTCTTATCTGACATTGACTAAATAGTCCTCCTGCATGTCAAAGCGTTGTATTTCATATATGTCCTTGTCCCTTTTCTCTCTCTGGTTTACAAGCAGCCAATCAATTTCAATTTCAGTCTGACATTGGCCGCGTCAGAACAACAATGGTCATGGCCTGCGCCGACATTCAATAACTTATGCTGACCTCCAACCCCCCTCCCCTCGTACACATAGCGCCGGACACCTCCAGGCATTCAGAGGACAAAAGAAAAGACTCAGCCTTTTAGTCCAGACGATCTATAAAATCTGATTAGCCTTGTGTGGTCACATGTCCTCCCCCTTCCTCTCTTTTTCATTTTGCCTTTCTTCTGTCTGAGTCATTCTCTTCTATATTATCCTGTGCGCTCCACAAACTCCGGCCAGATAATTCCATCAGTGTTTTGAATGCCATTATGCCCCAGTTCAGAGGCTTCGGTGAATCACCCTCCCCCCCCCTTTAACCCTCATCTTTATCTCACACACTAACAAATGATGCACACACATTGTCCACGGCGCTCTTAGCCTTTGCATGTTTACAGGGACTCATGAATTGTTGATCTCACGCTGAACTTGTGACCGGCGGGTATGAGAAACAACTGGAGGGTGTGTGTGTTTGCAGCAGGTCAGGGGGAATGGAGAGGTAACATTCAAAGACAGAGATTCAGAGCGCCTTCATCGGCATCACTGAACTCGAAGTATGAGGATGAAATTTGCAGAGAGACCCTCTCCGATCCACAAGGTTGGGCAGCAGTGGACCATAAAGAATTAATGGCGTGTCTTTTAGAGATTGAACAGGAGACGTGCTGTACTACAACACCTTGCAGTGAGTGATACTTGAACCAAAATGTAGAATGTATATCCAATTGATTTAATCCTTATTTCAACTTTTTGTCAAGCGCAGATTCATAGTTAAACACCTCTGAAGAGACCAGTATCACTCGGTGCTATATTTAGTACATTTACTTAATGTGTTTGGCTGCCAGCGCTGTGGCTTTGGGTTTCTTCCTCCCATCTCTTCCTTTTGGCTTCATACAGTCGAAAAAATGTCAATAACATTCTGCGCCGTCTGCTCAGCGAGCTGCACTCTCTCTTAGAATCGCTTCTGTTTCTTCAGAAGCCACGGGCAGTAAATCGGCCCTGTTTTCACGATGAGAAAGGAGACCTCCTTTGTCAGTGGGAAACAATCTGCTGTGTTGTTGTGGGTCCGTCCAACAATGCGTTTTCTGTGTGTGCTCTGCAGTACACACACACACACACACACACACACATACACATACCACCCCCACTACTGTGTCACGTGGAATACAATTTGGCTTTGGGGAATATTGTTTTTGGAAGACAGAATGACGACGGACAAACAAGAAAATCCTTGTGCAATGAGAGGCTCCGTATGCAGCTTCATCTGTTCTCTCTCTTATTTCTCCTTAACCAATTCAGTTTTTTTACAAGATAAGTTGGCCTGGAAAGGCCAACTTATCTTATCTCTTTCTGTTACTGTGATAAATCTCCCGGTGTCAAGCGGTTGTCTCTTTGCCAACCAGAGGAATTACATGATGCTGTTTAATTTCACCTCTCATTCGACGGTAACTTCGTTTGCATGAAAAGTGAGCAATAAATCCCCCTAATCTTCCAACCTGATTTGCCATCCTTGGCTTCTCCCCCTCGGCTAGATGACTCACTGATTCATCAGGTGATGGTGGGGTTTGATGGAGTACATCTGGCCCCCCAACTTTTAAATTAGTTCGATTTAGCCGAGTCCTCCCTTCCAGATCATTAAGCTCGGCGAGCCTGCCAGGAGCATGTGACTGAGCCGAAACATTTTTGGTCCTTAGCCCTGTCTTGTTCAGTGAAGCTGAGAATAGGATATGACAGGCCTGCGAGGTTAACTCGGTCATCTCCTCCAGACTCAGATCTCCAGATGCCCGTCTCCCCCCTTTTTATTACCGTCTCACCCCATAGTCTAGTCGCCAGCAGAGTGAACCCAGAAATGATGAGAACCCCACGATTTTATGTTAGAAATGTATAGTATGGGTCCCTAGAACGTAGAAACTGCCAGATGCTAACGTGCATATGTTGGGCATTTTGCACAGTTAGCATAAGTAACCTTAATTAAAATGAATGGCACAATGTGTTAATAGTTAAAAAAATGACTTGGCCGCTTCGGACAATTTTGGAGGTTATTGAGGATGCTGACATTTTCAGGATAAAGAATGCCGGTTTTAACCAGAAAGTGGACATATATGTACAAAAAAAGGCAATCTGTCTGATCCAAAGTTCCTTAAATCTTCCAAATCGACCCAAAATGTATCAAAATCAGCCCACGGAGTACAACTATTGGCATTTTCTGGTTACAACTGCATTTTTAACACCGAAAATGTCTCCAAAAACCACTCCATAAGTCGGCCAAGCCATTTTCTTGAACTACTGTTCCCATAGGCTATAATGGTAAATCATGCTAATAGACAGAACATATGCTAATTGTGCAAATTGCCCAACATATGCAGGTTAGCCTGCAGCAGTTTCGATGTGCTGGGGACTCGTACTATACATTCCTATCATAGAACTTTGGGGTATTCAACATTTCTGGGTTCACTATGCTGGCATCTAAACTATTATTATCTACATTTCTATTCACAACACCACCCTCACCTGACACAAAGACACAAACCTCTCGCGTAACACCGTCTGTTCTCTCCCCGAACACACACGTCCTGACACCTGATACTAAATCAGAGATGAATGACCTTATCTCCTGTTCCTTTCTAAGATTTGTTGACAGCAGCATAATGTGAGTGTACATATTCACAGTGCTTTGAGCAAACACACCAGCAGTTTGAATTTTTCTAAATGTAGTGGGGACGCCTCTCTGCTGTTGATTTAATGAGGCTCTACATAATCTATTACGATGCTTATCCGCTTTGGGAAGCCGAGCCAAAGTAAATGTTATGAATTCTTCTTTTTTTTCTTGGCACAAAGTTAAGGTGGTAACTTTCCTCCACCGTGACCTACTGAACCTTCATTCATATTTAATAGCAAAATACAATTAAACAAGTCGTAAACAGAACCAGACTACATTAGCTAGGAGTACAACTGGGGATGGAGGGTGTCAAGAAGTGTTTAAATAATACAAATAAAGAGGCTGGATGAACCAAAACGATATGTTTTTACACATCTGCAACACAAGAGTAAGATGCATGTATTTCATGACTGTGTCAGAGGCAGTCGTTTGTGGGACTGTGCACACAATTCATAATACAACGTGTCTATAGAGGTTACATCTTTGTGCAAAATGAGACTTTTGCAAGCTGAGATAGATGGAACAAAATGTCTGTGATAAAACTCTCATGGGCATGTTCTGACAACAGTTGCACACGTCTCTAAATCGTCTGGAAACAAACTCTGCAATCTTACGATCTGACTCTCTGGGTCATGCCTCCTTGCAAAGAGGATCAAAGCCTGTTTTTTGTTTGTAGTTTTATTTATTTCCATTTAATCCCAGATCACGGCATGCTATCCCGGCTTAAGTGCGGCCTTGTGTCTCTGCGGCCGCTCAGTGGCTGAGGTCCACCGGTAAATAGTGTTTAAGTTGCTGCTCTGTGATTAGGACCTTTTGTTTTTGGGTCTGGGGGATTGGGACGCTCTCAGCGCAGAAGAGAGGAGGTTGTGTACGCCGCTTAACCCTGCGTCAAGTGCTCCCAAACCCCCTTTCATTATTCTTATAGGCCTTTGTGTACAGACTGAATCCTGTTAGGATAAGACAGGGAGTTATCTGGGCCCCGACTCCCCTCTCTTGGCTTCCCCTCGCTGGACGGAGGCCCCGGTGGAAAGGGGAGGAGGGTTTGTGCGAGTGTGTGTGTTGTACAAACCA